GTGCGTGTGTGTGTATGTGTGTGTGTATGTGTGTGTATGTGTGTGTGTGTGTGTCTATATACATGTGTGTGTGTGTGTGTGTGTGTGTGTCTATGTACATGTGTGTTTGTATACATATATATATATATATATATGTGTGTGTGTGTGTGTGTATGCATGTATCTATATAAGCATACCGGTATACATGTATATGTGAACTGTTGTTGGGTGTGTATGGATTTATTTGTCACTCCTATACCACAATGTGTATGAGACTGTCTGATCGTGCCGCTTCCCTGAATTTCATCGATAGCCTATTGAAAACCCTAAAACCTTAAACCCCATATTCAATTGACAGAGATGCCCTACCGTACATGCAAACGGAAACGTGTGCCTGCACAACCTTTTAGTATATAACCACCTCATGCGTTCACTACTAACTACCCCGTCAGTCCATAACTACCCCCTACCTCCATATCTAATCGCCCCATACCTCTAATAGTAACTACCTTCTACCTCCATATCTAATCACCCCATACCTCTAATACGATCTACCCCCTACCTCCATATCTAACCACCCCATATCTCCACAGCGAGACAGCTTAGCCCGCCTCGACACCAACACCGACTCCAGCTCAAGCGACGACGCCGAAGACCCCCCAGAACACACCCTGCACACGCATATAGACCCTGGTCTCCCTCTGCAGGCCCAGGCAGAGGCAGTCAGTGCCCAACTGAGAGTTTGTGGGCAGCAGGGGGTACCGAACTTGTCTGCACTTGAGCGGGGAATGCGAGCGTTGGAAAAGAACATGGCGCAGCAGTGGAAGACCCTCTGCGCCACAGTGCTGGGTGACCGTATGTGGCTGTGGTGCTTTTGCTGTGGGGGTTTGTGAGGGTATCTGGGTTTGTATGGTGTCTTGTGGTCTGTGGGTGTATATGGGTTTGTATGGTGTGTCAGAGGGTGTCAGCTCACATATTAGTACCTAAGGTTTTACATAACTAACCTATAGCTACCACAATTAATGTATGTTCACTAGTCATAACTAACCTATAGCTACCACCATTAACGTACGCTCACTAGTATCTGTGCTATTAGAAGTCATGAGCTATGGGGGGTATTCAGGATGGGATGTGCTTCGCCCTATTTTTGTGCGATAGCTTGGTACCTATTGCAAGTGTGGTGTACCCTGTCGTAGACGGCAGGTGTGTGGTACGTTGATAGTATACGTACCTTGCCTAGCCATGGCATGCACCACTCAGATGCGGCTATACATCGGCAGATGTAACTCATGTCTTGTGCGTAAGTACGTCCGGCTGTACGCATTGGAGTTTGTACTGTCGCAGGCCAACCGCAAACCCACACGCGCACACAGGTGCACTCAGTGTATATGTAATGTCTACTTCTGTTGCTCTCCGAATCCCTGACGCGATTTGGCTGATTGGTTGTAATCCTATGCATTTGGTCGTATTCCTATTGATTCGGTCGTGTTCCTATGAATTTGGTCGTATTCCTATTGATTTAGTTATATTCCTATCGGTTTGTTCATATTCCTATCAATTTGTTCATATTCCTATCAATTTGGTCGTATTCCTATTAATTTAGTTGTATTCCTATTAATTTGCTTATATTCCTATGAATTTTTTTGATTCCCATTAATTTGCTTATATTCCTATCAATTTAGTTGTATTCCTATTAATTTGCTTATATTCCTATGAATTTAGTTGTATTCCTATTATTTTGCTTATATTCCTATGAATTTAGTTGTATTCCTATTAATTTGCTTATATTCCTATGAATTTAGTTGCATTCCTATTAATTTGCTTATATTCCTATGAATTTGGTTGTAGCCCTATTAATTTGCTTATATTCCTATGAATTTAGTTGTATTCCTATTAATTTGCTTATATTCCTATGAATTTAGTTGTATTCCTATTAATTTGCTTATATTCCTATGAATTTAGTTGTAGTCCTATTAATTTGCTTATATTCCTATGAATTTGGTTGTAGCCCGCCCTATTAATTTGCTTATATTCCTATGAATTTGGTTGTATTCCTATTATTTTGCTTATATTCCTATGAATTTGGTTGTAGTCCTATTAATTTGCTTATATTCCTATGAATTTAGTTGTATTACTATTAATTTGCTTATATTCCATGAATTTGGTTGTGTCCCTATGAATTTGCTTATGTTCCTATGAATTTGCTTATATTCCTATGAATTTGGTTGTAGTCCTATTAATTTGCTTATATTCCTATGAATTTAGTTGTATTCCTATTATTTTGCTTATATTCCTATGAATTTGGTTGTAGTCCTACTAATTTTCTTACATTCCATGAATTTGGTTGTATTCCTATTAATTTGCATATATTCCATGAATTTGGTTGTATTCCTATTTATTTGCTTATATTCCTATGAATTTGGTTGTAGTCCTATTTGTATCCGCATTCTAATTACAGGTACGTATCCACTTCTTTGACTCTCCCCTCACAGAAATCCATGGCGACACCGAGGCTGAAGTAGAGGCGAACCACCAGGCAGTGCTAATTGATCTTTCGATGAGTTTTGGGCGCCTATTCGAACGCCTGGGAAGAAGCGAAGGCAAAGTGGTATGGGTTTACTTTGGTGTTCATACGCATAAATGGCGTCACTTTTGTATCCATATGCGTAAATGGTGACATAACTCTTGTCGATTGACGAGTGTGGCGTGTGCTGAGTATTAACTGGTACACGTGCTATGTATACATATATATATACATACACACACACA